GAAGTGCTCTGTTAGGAAAATATGGAACAATAAGATCTGTAATATAAGATGGAGCTAGGTTGTTGAGGGCTTTGTAGGTTAGAAGTAAGATTTTGAGTTCAGTTCTGGATTTGACAGGGAGAGAGAAGAAGTTTAAACTAACGTTTCTGCTCTGAAGTCCATCTGAGCTGTGGAGCTCCACATAGGACTGGGTTTCTAACTCTTTCTACCAAAATCCCATTGATCTCCATGATCTTTTTTCTCAGTTTTAGAGATTTTTGAAGATGTTTGAGATGCGCCATTCTTGATCGAGCCACGTGTTTGGTTGTATAAGTTACATATTTTACTTCAAACTGCAGGACAAGAACTGAATAATAATAAAAGTGCTTAAAGGCTGATAAAAAACCAAATGTTTAACATTTAATTAGTTTTTATTCTCCGTACTATGTCCTACTGAGTTTGCATCTTTCTGTTCTGATTGCCAACGTTCTCCCTGGAGAACGTTTGGTGTTTCGAGAGGCACACACTTGTTCAAATATACATGAGCACTAAGTCCTTAACATCCCTGCAACACCGCCAGCATTTATTATTGATGAACGCCGCGCTCGGTCCGTGCACTTCGCAGCAGTATTGTTTGTTGTCTGGAGAAAGCTCATGTTTGGTGCATTGCACCTCCGTTATGTTTCCTCCTGGAAACACAGGAGACAGCTTGTTAGCTCGCTAACAGTTTGTGTTGTGCTGACCGCTGCAGTCTTCCTCACCAACTGATTTCTTCTGGGTTTTAATGATGAGACTTGGAGCTTTAGCTGCTTCAGGCGTTGTCTCTAACTTTGCAAATAACCGCCGAGGACATCTGCAGCTAAAAAAGTCACTATTAAAGGGAAATAAAATGCTTAAGGTCTGATTAAAACTTGATTGTAGTCCACCTGGAGTAAACTGAACTGATTAGACGAGGCCCACAACTCCTTATGGAAGTCCTCCTAGTCGATCGTCAGAGTTAAAACCAATCCATGAGGTCAAAGAAATTGTGAATATCATCCCAACAATGAAACATGGTGGAGGCAGCATCATGATGTGGGGGCGTTCTTCATCAGTTGGTCTTGCTGAGCTTAGAGACAGGATTGTTGGAAGGCACGTGTCTAGACATCAAATGTGTGTCAGAGACCCTCCATCCTAAACCCCACGGCTGGTTGTTCACACAGATCGTCTGACATCAACACGTCACACTCCAGAGCCTTGAAACCAGCAAATCCTTTCATAGACCAGTTGCTAGGGCTGTGTTACTATAGTTACTACCTCAATGCTACTACCACGCTATTATTACCATGCCGTCACTACCTCAACATTACTACCTCCCAATTACTACAGCGCAGTTACTACCATGCCAGTACAACCACAATATATATGGCAATACATGCTGCTATTACCTCGGTGTTACTACCATGCCTTATATATCGTGACATTACTATGTCGCCATAACAACCACATAATTACTTACACATTGCTACTATCAAAAGACAAATGTCACGCTATTACTACCATGCTGTTACTATTACCTCCACAATACTACCCAGCTACTACCTCAATGTTACTGCCAAGTCATTATTACCACACTGTTACTACCATGCTGTTACTACCACACTGTTACTACCACGCTGTTACTACCACGCTGTTACTACCACGCTGTTACTACCACACTGTTACTACCACGCTGTTACTACCACGCTGTTACTACCACACTGTTACTACC